CATAATATTTTTTTGGAAAATAATTAATAATTAACAGCATTATCAATAATTTTTAGAGTTATGCCTCTTGTACTTTTCTCACTTATACACTTGTTTTACATTATGCCTTTTGTTTCTCTATACTAACAATGAAGGAGTCAGCAAATGGATAATGTTTTTATTTAACGGTGAGAAGAGAATATAAAATATCAACCATCAACCTAATTAATAAAAAATATTTTAGTAAATGGAATTTTTTAAAAACTTTACTTACGCAGTACATGATAAAATTTTTCACATAATAGTTTTCAGTAACAAAAATATTTTCTTTCTATATGGCAGGTGATAACAATACCATAAACTAAATTAACTGGAATAAGTAACAAATCAAACTTAATAAAGACAAAATCAAAAAACTTAAATGAAACATAAATTTTACTCTTAAGATAATAAAACAAACAACAGAAACAAATTTTTAAATAAAAGAGAAGTTACAAACTATCACAAAAATTAAAATAAACTTGTGGAATTACATCTTTGTTAAATAATTTCATCAGTTCCTTTTTCTTTTTTTCTGAAATTGTGGGCTTTTTACGGTAAGCTGGAGTCAAATGGACCTGTGGAATAAAATCGCTATTCCTTGACTAACTATCTGAATGGTTAAATTGGATAGTACCAAAAGCTTCATCTTCTTTATAAGAAGTTTTGTACTGAAATGAATCTAAGTTAGACTTTGTAACTTTAATTATTTTGATGTCAGTGAAGTGAATTGTAGATTTCTGAGTATTAGTGGTAAAACTGTTTCCTAGCTAATTGGTAAAATAATGAAAATTGTAAAAATCTTTGTGACACAACTCAGTTACATCAAAAAAAGGAGAACTCTTTTTTAAATCCTTGATAATTTGTGCGTATTGGGCTGGAATATAAATGGGGCCTCTTACAAGAGACTTTTTACTTGTTTTTCAACTATTGAGTGAATAGCATCCCCCTTATTTTGTGTATGGCTCTTTATTAAAAATTTATGGGTTATACTTCTTAATCTAGGGATGACACGAAGAGCGTAGTTATACAGGCCAATTATAAATTTGTTTTTGTTCTGACCTGGGCAATTGTTGGAATAGAAAATAACATCAAAATCCGTTTGCTTTTCCTCTGCCTTTTTCTTCAGGAACATCAACAGACATGGGGCCAATTCATTAGTTCCCCTATTTGCTTCCCCTTCATACCAAAGGTAGCAGTAAGTCTTCATATTGTTCAGTTCACATATTGTAAAATTATATGTCGCAACTTTATTAATATAGTAAAAGACAGAAATGTCTCCTCGTGGAATTGGCAGAACAGCTTGCAGATCATAAACTGCTACTACAAGCTCTTCTGAAGCCCTTTTTTATCACAGTCTTTTTCAGTCCTGGATAAATTCTTTTCCTGTAGATGTTGATGGTATCTCACATCTTGTTTCCTTTGTTCTGGAGTCTTATTTTTATAAGCTTTACAGTCTTCACATTAGTCTTTCTTCGAAAAAAATAGGGAAATGTTGAACTCCGTGTTAAAAATGTGCCGAAACATAGAGTATTTGACAAACATTTTACTTTCTTGTTCACATTGAGATTTATAGTCTCTGTACAAATCTACGATAGTCTTACTACCATCAATAAATTCCCTTGTTTGTTGACGAAGGTAATGGCTTTCAATACGAGGGATATTTTGAATAAAGTTCCCAGCTTCCAATTTCAAAGCAGGATCCAATTTTTTTGGATTAACTCCAACTTTCCCTCTCAGATCAGGTTGAAGCTCTCCAGAGTCGCCCTTTTTCGAAATTGTGGTTCTAATCATCTTATCTGAGATTTCTAATATTGCTATAAAAAAAGGCTTTACAAATCCTAACTCCACTGGGCCAAGAGGGAGTAGTAAAATAATACGCACTATTCTTTGCTCTACTGTTTCCATACCTGTACTTAGGATTAATTTCTTTAATGCATTGAGCTACAAAGTACCGTTGCTTTTCAATGTTACTAATAACCCAAAAATTTTTAAAAGTAATGTGACATTCAGCATCAGTTATTTTCGTATTACATTGAAGTCTGCAATTCGCACCACATGAGGGTGTCATGGTTCTCGCAGCGACGATCATTTTTCTTTTCGAACTTGAATTTTCCATTTCGTTGGTTGGGGAATCACCTTTTTAAATTTTCGGCGTTGTTGTTTTTTCTCGTTCTCTGCTGTCGTCTGATGAATCAGTGTATTCCACTAGTGGCTTAATCAATACTTCTTTTCGACTTCCTGTAAAAGAACACGCTTTAAAAAACAGCTAAAAAAAAATTAAAAAAAATATTACAAGAAATTTTTACCCAACTAGCAGCTGAATTATAAAAAAGCTGAATGTGTTTTTGACTTTTTTCCTATCGACATCTATTTATGCTAAAAAATGTTGTTATATGATAACACAAAAAAAGTAACGTGAACTTGACATAATATTCACAAGAAAGGTAGGATGAAACAAACATACAGGTGAACATCGACAACTACATACTCAATAACACATACTAAAAAAAAGTAAACAAAAATCGTATTTTCATCAGAATAATACGTATAAGCAAAATTTCAATCTGTCTGGATCACAGGTCAACTTAATGATAAAATCGACATATACAGATTTGTAAAAAACAGGAAGACAGCAAAGCAGGTTAAATAAAAGATGTCAAAATTAAAATATTAGGAATCTAGTTACTACTTATTGTGGACTCATCAACTTCAGAATCGTCATCACTAGTGATGTCAGGAATGTATTCTGGATCTGCATCAGAATCGTTACTGTTGTTGATGTACTCTAAATCAATAGACCTTTTAACCCTGTGAGAGGTAGTAATGGGCAACGTACAGGCACCAAAACATGGCGGTCACATCGAAACTGGATTCACTTTGCGAAGGTTTATTAAATAAGCGTTACCTGTCCACTCTTTCCTTGTCTTAGGCCCTAATAATATGAGTTAGAATACTTGCCCCTTCTAACTGAATTTAGGCAACCAATTGTTATATTATTCATGTCAATGCTCTTGGTTGCATCACTCATGTGGATGCTAATAAATTACATATATATATATATATATATATATATATATATATATATATATATATATATACACACACACACACATATATATATATATATATATATATATATATAATATATATATATATATATATATATATATATATATATATATATATATATATATATATATTGTTATGATATGTAAAATCGAGAAAAATATTGGTGTGTTTAAAATTCTTCAAAGTTCAAAAAACATTAAAATAATTCAAATAAGTAGGATAATAACCAACAAACATTTCGAAGAAGGAAAGTATTTAAATTTTTTGGATTACCTGTATTAAACAAAATGTAAGCTATGCATAAATTATTTCCTTTGTTATACTATACTTGAGTGACCCGCATAATTTTAAGTGAAATCCCAAAGACAATTGAACCGGGTTTTTCCAAATACATTATTGCAGTGATTATAGACAATAGAAGAGATTTTAGAAAGAGGTTTTTGTTAGTTTTTAAGAATTGTAGAAAAATATTATTTGTAAATAAGTTTTAGGAAATTTTACAATTATAGGTAAAAAGTTGTTTGTTATCGAAATGAAGAAATGGGGAATTGTGACGAGTTTTGATTGGCGGAGATTGAAAAAGGTGGGATAGGTATGTAGGAATGAAAGTTTAGCTAGATTTAGGAGAGAGAAAAGATAATCAGTTGGTTTCCAAGGGTGCAAGGCGAACGGCCGTTGTTCTCGGGTAGTTTCCCAGAGGTAGGAAGCAGTAGCAGTGAAAGTTTGTGAGTTTTCGTGTAGTTAGTGTATCTGACAGAAGCTGATCCAGTAAAATATTGTAAGTCATATTTTTCTACTTATATTCCAAGAGTCACTGTTCACGCCAACGAGAGATTCAGTTTATCGTAAAGAAAAGATATTCCAAGAGTCATTTTTCACTCAGGAAAACGAGAGATTCAGTTTATTGAGAGAAGAAGAAGCTAGCATAATTTGAACGATTCGTGCATTTGAAGGAGATCATTAAGGACGAGATACTTGCAATAATTTATTGTAAGATTGCTGATTACTTAGGGAGCGGCCACGAGTAAATAGTATAGTCTACAAATAACAAGGAGTTGGACCACTTGTCATCAGAGAGAGATAGTTTTGTTTTCTGCAGTTTTTCTTTCATTGATAACACAATTTTTACACTTAATTTAGAAAGGATATAAATATTTTGATTAGGAGATTTAGAGTAATACTTGGATTTTGAGATTTCAACAAATATTGTTTGTACCATTAATTTTGAAGGTTCACGTACGTAGAACAAAATTTTGAGAATCATTATATGAGATTTTGTTTATCGAAAACATTTGAGTGTGAATATTATTTCATTATTTTTATTTCAATATATAGTGTTATATGTGTTTTTTATTATTCCGGTATTCTTTGGACCTTACCTTTCACACGTAATAGCATAGATATTGAAGCACGAATTTAACCCTGAGATAAGAGAATTAAAAAGAGCGATAGAGTCATAATCATATCATTTAAATAATTTTAATTAATCAATTAATTAATTAGCTAATAAATTGCTTGGCGCACCAAGACTTTAAATATCACAATAATATATATATATATATTATATATATATATATATATATATATATATATATATATATATATATATATATATATATATATATATATATATATATATATATATATCCGGTATTTAGGCGGCGCACGCCTTTCCGGTAGGGATCTATCGGGGAATATCACCGAACCACAAGCCCTTATCTCTTAAATTACATTTATTCCATAAAATATTCAAGATATGAGAAAAACAATAAAATATAACGCATCTTTATTGTTAAAACTAATCAGTAACTGTTTATGAACAAACATGTCAAAAGTTAAAAAATACAATACAATATGTAGCATATAGTTTCAGAAAACCTACGTACAATGAAAATGTATAATTTGTGTTGTTTAAGTTGAAGTCACACACAAATTATTATCTATAACAAACCAAAACTTAATTCTGTCAAATCTAGCAGAGCCAAATATGACAGGCACAACCTGTCATGTTTGGCTCGTGAGCCATGTTATCGTATTTAGTTAAAAAACTTCAACAGCCTCTGTGGTTTTATTTGTTTATCATTTTATAATTTTACTTGCAATTTTCAATGAAGCATAACTTATACAGCTTTCTTTCATATACAATGTGTCCCATTAGCGCATCTAACATAATAATGAACAAAGTAATTGAAGGTATGCCATCTCGGTGAACACCTACTGCAAGCTCAAATGATTGAGAGAATCACCCTTATATAAATATCCATTATAACTAATTTGTATTGTAGCCTGGTAGAATTTATCTTTGTTTAATTTTATTTTATTCACAGGCTCAAAAGCCTTCTGAAAATCTACAAAAGCCTAATATAATGAGCTTTACTACTGCTTGTTTCGTTCTAAAATTATATGCAACACGTTCACATAGATACTATGTTCTCTATACGTAAATATCTTTCTAGGGGTTTTATGAAATCGTGTATACACAGTAGTATAATATCTGTAATAAAATAAAACTTAAAAGGTATCTAAATATAAAAACATACTAACAACTTGATTAAAAAATGTTCTTAGGATACCTAATCCTGTTTAACGCTCTCTAATCTTAACAAAATGCGGTCTATGGTGCTGGAAACGAAGGTTTGTTCGTGGAATTTGAGCGGTAATTTTGTATTGGGACTGACCGTTACTTTGTAATCACGTAACACAGATATTAATCCCAATCTTACTTGCATAATGCCAAACCTTGATCCTAAAAGCAAAACAAAACATTAAACATAAAAATAAAAAAATTAACTGAGTATTTTAAACCAACTAGTGTATCTGCGGTCCGTATTTACTAATAGCGTAGGATGCAAAGAGGAAAAAAATAAATGGAGAACATCAACAAAAAAAAGTGAATAGCCAAGCTGACTACAATCTGGAGGGACAAAAATCAGACTGGTCAGATGCCTAACCTTTCCAGGATTCCTATATGAATAGAAATGTTGAATCCTGAAGATATATTCTGCCGGAGACTTATGCTAAGAATTTCTTCGAGCCCGTAAAACAAGTTTGATAATACTCCAACTGAATATTAAGAAAATAGTCTATCTTGGTCACATCTTTTGAATTAATGATCCTGAAGGGCTCACACTATAGGGTGGTATCGAAGCTAAAAGAGCTACAGTCAGGTCTACATCGACACCGAAAATACCATCGAAACTATTAGTGATCTACTGTCAGAATGTGCAATATTGACCCAAGATCGTTTAACATAAAGGAACCTCGGCAAGTCCAACTTATGATAACTCATGATACGATGCCTGTATCTGGATAGCGAGTAGTAAATATCCACAAGGAAAAAAAAAATCTGTAGTTAGCTTTATATTGTAAATAACAAAAGTTTTATTTAAAAAATCGTTTATAACATGATTTTAGCGACTTTCGGGCTACATCACAATATAATATTTTCGTATTTCAACCAATAAAAAAAGCAAAGAATGCCCTCCTAAATAATGCATACCCCGAACATCTAACCGAAACGGTTTTCAAATGAAGACTAAATAAATTTTACAACAATACCAATAACAATAAAATCAACAGTACCAAAACTACATAATACAACTCTTTCATACATAAGCAGTTTATCCGAACAACTAGCGAATCTTTTAGCCAAATATAATACAACAGTGGCTCATAAAGGCAACAATCTTTTAAATAAATATTTTCATCATTATCTTTGACTCTACAACCCTGCGTGGGTCTTGAAATGTTCAAGAATTAGTCTCAATTCCTTCCTATATTTCGCCCTGGCTTTTCAATTTCTGACCCCTAGATTCCTCAAGTCATCTTCGACTTGAGTTTTGAATCTAGATCTTGGCCTGCCTCTCTTCCTGCCTCTTTGGAGATCTCCAGTGTCCATTCTTTCAAGGCTTATTACAACCAATAGACCAATAGGATGTCATATTTGCACATGTGGCTTGTGTCGTACATGTCGACACAAGCGTCGACACAAGCCACATGTGCAAATATGACATCCTACAACCGATAGGAAACAATCGAAGAGATTATTGTGTTGGATCCTCGAAAGAGCTTACACCCATATGGAGATGAAGCCATCGGTAAAAATTAAATAAACAATAGTGCTCTTTCAGTTTTTTCTTGTGTGTTTTTTGTTTCGTTTCTATCGTTTTCTATCGTTAGTTGTTAAGTTTTAATGTTAAGTTATCGTAGAGTGTTTATAAAATCTTTAAAAAAACCTACAAATTGTTTTTGTAAGTATGAACCATTTTGGTTATTTACTTATATTTTAAATCTTTTTATTTTTATTTGTAGTGAACTGATGATGCTTTTGAAAATAAAAGCGAAACGTATTCAAATAAATCAATGAAGTAGCTGACGACTTTCATTTGCCAATTATTGACCGATACAACCTCTGCCATTCAACTATTGCATATATTTTAAATTTAATCAACGGGTATTTTTTGCTATATATATATATTATATATATATATATATATATATTATATATATATATATATATATATATATTCTTTTTTCTTTTTTCTTACTCTTATATATATATATATATATATATATATATATATATATATATATAAAGCAAGCTTTTAGTATAGTATTGGTTTAAATATCGATTATAAATTCCATTATAAATAATTATTTAGAAAAAATGTAGGCAATGGTATTATTCTCTTGTGCTACTTTTATTTACAGTAAATTTATTTATGCACATTGAACATATTGAACATATAGCGAAGGGGCATTATGATCGCCACATTTTATATTTATAATAATGAGGACGTGTCTCGAAAAAATTAAGTACTACTCATTTTACCTATACAGTTGCGTGGTCCATCTCCAAAGGGATAATACCCTACATGTTTTTCATTTTTATCTTCGAATCTGTTTATATCCCATTTCACAGGATCGGGATAAAAATCTTCATCTGCTTGATATCCTATAACAGGAAGTATAACCGGAGTACCCTTTTCGATCACAATGTCGCTGTTTTTAAATTTGTAGTCTTTGACACATGTCCTGTTTAGTGCACTTAGGGGTGGATATTTTCTTACAGTTTCTAAAATTTTAAATAAAATACAATTTAAAATACTAAATCTCAAACGAAAATGTAATTGCTAAAGACACTATTAACCGTAAGAGTCAGTACTACAAGAGTAGTCGTAAGTTGAGATTCAGCTTAATGAAAGACAGTGAGTTGAGTCATTTTACATCACAGGACAAGTAGTCCAATAAAAAGTAATTCCAAGAATAAAATAATTCCACTGTAATAATAGCTTAAAATATACCTAATATCTAATAATATACCTATATAATACCTAAAATCACGTCAAAGGATTTTTTTTGTTTAATAAAACTCCAACAGGAATCTTATGACTATTGCTATCTGATCATTCACTATGATCAATAAGCAAGTTAGTTCTATATATAAATATTACAAGAAACTTATCTAAGGTTATATTCAGCAATATTCCTTAGGCTCTAATATATTATAGTACTACTAGCTAACGTGTACACTTTAGCCGCACTTTACTCTGCTTTTTCACTTTCACTCACTTATAGCACTAAATCAAACGGCTTCGTTCTCTTTAGTCTTCTTATCTGGTTGGCGTTGTCTAGGAGTTTGATGGCCTCGACGTTCACGTGGTTGGAGAGCCTCTGTTCATGACTCTCGGCAAACTTACTTATTGTCTGGATAACTGTATCCATCTGGAGGTCTCGATGAAGATCACAGTTTCTAAAGTACCATAGAGCGTTAACGATGTTCCTTAATACTTTATTCTGATATCGTTTTATACGTTGGATGTTGCTTTCTTTTGTACAGCCCCATAGCTGTATTCCGTATGTCCATATCGGTTTAAGGACTTGCTTATATAATAGCAATTTGTTGTAACTAGACAGAGTGGGTTTTTTTCCCATCAACCAGTACATCTTTCTGAACTTAATTTCTAATTCCTTCTTTTTTTCTTAACATGTGCTTTCCAACGTAGCTTGGAATCTAACGTCATACCCAAATATTTTGCCATATTTGCATAAGGTATTTGGTTTCTATTTATATGTACTGGAATATGTTGTTCTCTTTTGTTAGTAAAATTGACATGAACAGATTTTGTTTCATTTAATTTGATACGCCATCGGCTGGTCCAGATGTTAATTTGTTCAACAGAGTTCTGTAACATGGTAGCTGCATCCTCGTGGTTTTGTCCGACTGCTAGTATGCATGTGTCGTCTGCAAATGTCGCAATTGTGTTAGGTTCTAATGATGGAATATCGCTGGTATAGAGCAGATATAGCACTGGCCCCAAGACACTTCCTTGTGGAACTCCAGCTTTAACTTCTCTTAATTCTAAATATGCTTCCTCATATTTAACTCGAAAGTATCTGTCGGATATATATGATTCTAGTAGTTTAGAATATTGTTTTGGTAAGTAGCATCTCATTTTATGATATAGTCCATCATGCCACACCTTGTCAAAAGCCTGCGCTACATCTAGGAAAATTGCGGAACAAACTTTTCCTTCTTCTAGAGCTTTTTCTATGATATCTGTTATTCTATGCACCTGATCTATGGTTGAGTGGCTTGCTCTAAACCCAAACTGATAATTAGGAATTAGATTTTTTCCTCTATAATCGGTTTTAGTCTCTTCAAGAGTAATTTTTCGTATAATTTAGACATGACAGGTAACAGAGAAATAGGCCTATATGAAGAAGCTTCTTGTGGAGGTTTTCCTGGTTTTAGTGTCATTATAATTTCTGTCACCTTCCATATCTTTGGTACGTACCTCAACCTAAAGGAAGCGTTTATAAGATGAATTAATTTTATAATAGCTTTCCTTGGAAGTTGCTTTAACAGTTCCCCAGTAATTAGATCAAATCCAGGAGCTTTCTTTGGATTTATATTTTCTTTTATTTCCAAATACTTATACTTCTTTTGGAGTTACAAGGCTAATCTCCATTTCGTCTTGATCAGGGAGCTCCCAGTTTATTCTTTCTTGTTCTTCATTTGGTTGAAAAGTATTTTCTAGGTGGTCAGTAAACCTGTTGGCCTTTTGTATATTGCTTCTAGCCCAGCTACCATTAGTATTTCTAATTGATGGATACTGTAAGATTGGCCTTTTTAATCGTTTAGTAGCCTTCCACAAAGAGTAATCAGTAGCGCTATCATTTGATAGTTCACTTAGGTAAATGTTAACCGATTCGTTTTTAATTTTTTGTATTTTTTTTTTTAATTTTTGTGTGGCATTATTTAATCTAGTTTTATCAACTGGTGCTCTAGACTGATGCCACTTGCGTCTTAGTTTTCTTTTTTCGGTTATCATTTCTCTGATTTCTTTCGGGTAGTTATTTCCTTTTATTCTTTCGACACTGTTCGTGCTGTTGTTCCAAGCAGCTTGTTGTATATTTTTATTGAGTAATTCTACTTCTGCTTCTAGTTGATCAATGGTTCTTAATGGCACTGAGAGGTTAATCTTCTCTTCAAGGTCTATCTGGAAACTTTTCCAATCAGTATTTTTGTTAACAAGTCTAGGGGGCTTTCTTTTTTGATAACAGTGTCACTAAGTGTGGTAATAATTGGAGAATGGTCCGAGGTCATATCCAATGACTCTTCTATCTCTATGTAATTTGTAGAAATATTTCTAACTACAAAGAAGTCGATAAGGTCTGGAATTTTATATGTGTCAGTAGGCCAGTATGTTGGTTTTCCCGTTGATACTGCGTCGCATTTTATGTATTTTATTGCTTCTAAAAGTTCTTTCCCTTTGGTTGTAGTCAGTCGTGGCCCCCAATGCGTATGTTTTGCATTGAAGTCTCCTCCAAGAATAAATCTCGTCATCACGTCAAATGATGATCAAATGTTATAGTTAACCTTTATTTCTATATGGAGTTAAAACCTCAATTTTAAAGCTGATACTATCAATCCAAGAATGCTCCAAACATCGTAGACAGCTACAAAGATTAACAAAGTATGCCTAGTGCTCGTTAATTATTGGAAATTGTTAAGGTAAACCATACAACCTCTTACAATACCATACCTACGGTATGTTATTGTAAGAGGTTGACATAAAATCCTTCTTCTTCTTCTTTGACTGCCTCTCCTATTGAAGATTGGATATCATTATGGTGATTTTAATTTTATTTACTGCTGTTTTAAATAATTCGTTAGTGGTACAGCCAAACCACTCTCTTAAATTTCTCATCCAGGACATTCTTTTACGGTCTGGATTTCTGCGTCCTTGGATTTTCCTTGCATTATATTTTGTAGGAATGTGTACTTTTGTCCTCTCACCAGGTGGCCTAAGTATTCAAGTTTTCTCTTTTTTATATTCATGATAACTTCTGGATCGTTATTTATTCTGCGTATTACCTCTTCATTTGTAATTTTATCCACCCAACTTATTTTTAGTATACGGCGGTAGCACCATATCTTAAAGTTTTCAAGATTTTTAATATTCCTCTGTTTAAGAGTCCATGCCTCAACACCGTAGAGCAAAGTACTAAATATTTTACTAAGCATTTTAACATTCTAGTTCGTAGATGAATACTAATATCACGATAACAAAATATTTTTTTTATCTTCATAAAGGTAGACCTGGCAATTTCAATACGTCTTTTTATGTCGTGATTTTGGTCACCTCCTTCATTGATAAGGGTTCCCAAGTATTCGCTTACTTTTTCGAGTTGGGTAACGTTTATTGCGATACTAGTGTCATATATTGGATTTTTACTAAAGGTCATATATTTGGTTTTTTGACGTTCATCCTTATGCCGTAGTTATTACATATCTCATTCACACTTTCAACTAGATGTTGTAGATCTTCCGCTGTTCTTTCTATTATCTCAGTATCGTCAGCATATCGAATGATATTGATAACTTCTCCATTGACTATTACCCCTTTGTTTGCATGTGAGAGCCTTCAGTTTACAATAAAATTCACGAAAGTCGGGAATCGTATATGAATTGAAAGGAAGTCAATCTTTCGCCAATATGACTACCAAAGATAGGGAATCTAATGGTGAAAAAATACTGTTCGGACTTTAACAAAGATACTTCAAAAGAATCATCAGACCGAACACAAGTACAATTATTTTACGAGCAGAACTAGAGAAGGTTCTTAACTAGCTAAGAAACAAAAAAAAAAACTCAGAAACCGATGGCATACCAACGGAAAAACAAAAATAATAATCGTCGACAGGACAAATAATAATCACAAATGGCATGGCGATATATCCTCAGAAATCAAGCACAGACTAGAAATGGTCCGAACCGCAACAGCTAAAAATTAAAATATGGAAATTCCAAATAATAACTAAGTAACTAAATAATAACTAATTCTACGTGTGTCCTGGCCAAAACATAGAACCAATAAGTCAATTCTGGCAGAGCTGTTTCTGACAACCGAGCGTACCTAAATTACTTTGGATACATAGCCAAAAGAGTGGGAAATATGGAACTATTAATAGTAGAAGGACAGATAAAAGGTCAAAGACCGAGAGTAATATCTCTAACACGATGGGCAGACCAAATGAAGTCTCTGGTGGAAACTCTTACAAAATGCTGTCCATTTTGCAAGGATAGAAACCATTGATACAGCAAGCTAATAATATTTATAGTGTCAGCACGTCCTGATAAGGACTTAACGAATGAGGAGGTAAATGTTTTATAAAAAATATGCTAAGTAAACTTAAGAAGAAACTAAAGATTGTAAGGTATGATAAACAAATAGTACTTTACCGTTAAAAGCTTTATCCAAAAGAGTCATTTCTTTTAACATTTCGTAAGATATTTCACCATTGTGTCTTTTTAAAGCCGTCTGAATTTCTTCTCTAACTTTTTCTTGAATATCTTGGTGTAGAGCAAGCTCAAAAAGTGTTAAAGAAGAAGACATCGATGATGTTTCAAATCCAGCTGCGAAGAACAGGAATGCCTAAATTTTCGATAATAAAATTAGTAATACTCTAGTGTCTAGTTAAAAAAAATAAAATAAAATAGATAAAATTACCTACACTTTGTTCCTATATCTTGCCAACAAAATATGGAAAATGTTAAAAAAAGCACATTCAGCTTATTTGGATCCTACTAAAATAGGTGTGTACATCAGCGTCAAAAAACCGTAATAGTTGTTCTATGTTTTTAGATCCAACTAACCCACAGGAAATAACTAGTATAGTCGGAAGTTTTAAATTCAAACACAGTTGTGGTTTTCATCAGATTTTCATTAAGTTATTAAAACAATGCAGTCATGCTCTCGCAGATCCACTGACGGATATTTGTAATGCCTCTATTCAACAAGGAATATTTCCTAGTATGTTTAAACTATCTATTGTAATTCCTTTATTCAAAAGTGGTGATAAAGATGACCTTAACAACTATCGCCCCATAAGTCTCTTATATGTGTTTTCAAAGATAACTGAAACTCTGGTTTATACTAGAATGAACGCATCCCTAAAAAAGTATAGTGCCTTGTATAATTTTCAACATGGTTTTACATCTTCTAAGTCTACAACTACAGCTCTTGCAAATTTCGTCAGCTTAGTGTTGGATGCTTTGGACAGACGAGAGAAGGCATGTGGTTTATTTCTCGATTTGTCCAAGGCTTTTCACACTTTGGATCATTATTTGTTGATAATAAAACTTGAGGAGATTGTTATTCGTGTTGTAGTTCTAAAATGGTTTACTTCCTTCCTAGAGAATAAAAGAAAAAAAGTAAAGATAACATCTAATCAACTTACACGTAAACGAATCAAACACATTGGATATCCATTATGGTATCCCTCAGGGTAGTGTATTGGGTCCTCTACTGTTTTTAGTATGTATTAATGATATAGCTTTGGTAACTAATTCACTGACTGGGGTTAACATAATCAGTTATGCGGATGATACCAACATTCTAGTCACAGAAACGTCTGATCAAACTTTGCAAAGTTAAACTACATAGATACTATCCACCATCAACAGTTATTTCTTATCCAACAAATTAGTTTTAAATAAAGAGAAATCACAGCGTATGATTTTCATAACAAATAATTTATTACACCATCAAGCCACTATAGAAGCAGCAATAGATAAAACAGACTGTACGAAGTTGCTGGGGGTACTTCTAGACAGTAATTGTAAATGGTCAAACAACGTTTCTAATTTGAAATCCAGATTGAGTAGCGCATGTTATGCATTGAGAATTCTTTCACGTCTCTTTCATACATCAATATTAAAAACAGTATACGTTGCCCATTTTTACTCAATAGCCAAATATGACATTGAAGTCTGTGGTTGTACCTCTGAATTAGAGTAGATATTCGTACTTTAGAAAAAAGCTATTAGTATAATGTATAAAATGAAATTTAGAGATTCTTGTAGAAGCATCTTTAGACAAACCAATATTCTTACAATTCCTGGTCTGTATATATTTTCGTGTACAATGTATTTGCATAGCAAAATTTATGAATTTAATAAATTTCAATTTAACCATGTTTATTCAACAAGATTCATAGACAATCACTTTATGCTTCCCCAACATCGTTCTGTTTTGTTGGAAGGTAGCACACATTATACAGCCATAAGTTTCTTTAACAAATTACCAATAGATATACGAATTAATTTACATCAGCCAAACATTCGGAGGTGTGTACATCAATACAGTAGTGAGCTAGAGCCATATTCTTAAAATAACTTTTAAGTATGTTTTATCGTGTTTATTAATTTATATACTTTAAAGATGTATGTCTGTAACTTTGACTAGTCTCATACATGTACTTTGTATAATGTCGCATGTGATCAATAAATTTGACTTGACTTGACTTGAGTTGGGTTCAAGCTGGAAACAGTTAATGCACATGGTGTCTTGAAGGTGAGCATCTGTTAATTGGTCGATATTTGTTCTTCAAAAAATTTATTTTTGAAAACGAAGTTTCACAAAGAAATGTGGAGGCAAACATAGTAGCAAGGGAAATAGCCAATTTCTTGCAGTTTTCATATTTCTCTGGAACTCTACAAAATTCTTGGGTGAATGTAGATTTATGCATTTGCAACAAAATATGTTCTATTGACAAGTCTATATTCTTCAGTTGGAGCAATAACTTAAAAATGGGAAATAAATTTTCGCAGCAACATCAATCTATTCTTCTGTTGGAGGAACAGAGAAATGCGCTTTTAAGAATGCCGACAACTTTTTTACCTTTGCAAAGTCTTCGAATTTTCCTACGAGTTTATTTTTAAAATCTTCAATATAATCTAAAAATATTGAAACGTCTATTTCTGATACAGAATTATTCTTGTGTTTAAGAGTTGTTGGAAAGTGAGAAAGAGTTGGAAAAATTAGTTCTTGACTTGCAATATCTTTTTCAAAAATATCGAGCTTCCCACTAAAGGAGAACACACTTCCCACTTTGTATCAGATTACATATCAATTTCTCATTTCCTTGTAGTTCGATATTCAGCACATTTAAGGGTTGCAAAATATATTTCAGAACAGCCCCAGCGAACATACTTCTTTTATTTGCCAGGAACTTCAAAAAAATGCTTTATTGCTTCTTGGGTATTCAAGTTTTCTAAGAAGGTTATTTCTTATTTTATTTGCCAAAAAAGTTCAATCACTTGACCTCTACTTAGCCAACGAACACTGTTGTGTTAAGGTAGGTCAGATTACGTTGAATTACACTCACACACACATGAAATGTTATATCCTCTTCGCCTTTTCCTACCACTCATTACATCTTTTACGCCACAATGTTCTCTGATGATGTTATTTCTTATTCTGTATATTCTTGTCTTCACTAATACTGCTCTAAGTAGCTTCATTTTAGTTATACGTAGCATATTTTTGGTTTTATTGATTTATTTTCGTGACTATTAATTTTTGATGCGCATCTGCGACAACCACAGCGGTAAGCATTTTTATTTCAAATTCTTTAGCTTTAATTATACACAAACTATCGCTCTCTGTTCTATACTATAAAAAAACTACCCTACCTGAGAGCCCATCTCCTCGTCGGTCAGCTTTACTCCTTCCTTTTTCATTTCTATTAAGAGTTCCAGAAAATCAGCCCTTTTGATATTGTTTGCTTCCCTATACTCTATCGCCTCCTTAAAAAATTTAATAAAGAAATCTCCAATGTATTCTTGAATTGGACTTATATTTAAAATTTTTGCTATATTTGGATAGCAGATGGTAAGGAACAATTTAACTTGATCCCATAATGTAAATTTTCCAAAAAGCTCATTGCCCAATCTTCGGATTATAGCGCCTTCTGGCTTAAAACTGCCAGCTTCAATACCATAAATAACATCTCCTAAAAAATTAAGGTTTGTTAATAATCGCTATATTTTGTACAGTGTATGCCATTCGTTATGAAATTAGGTTAGGTTAATTAAGTGACTAGGACTTGATAAAATAAAAGATCACTGATTACTGTATATCGCTAAATGTTTTATTATTAAAATCATAAATGTGTTGCTTGTGTGAGTCCATTTCAAACAGGTAAAAGAAATAATAAATAAGACTTAAAATCAGTTTAATTTAACTATCTAGATGACCGGTTTCACTTTCTCTAATTTGCAAAGCATCTTCAGGTCTGTCGATACAAAGTTAATTAAATTATGCCGGTACACGATTTATTAGTGTTCTCTTAACCATTAAATAAAACTAAGTTTTGAAAAATTTATATTTTCGTCTTGGAATTCTTAATATTTTTGGTTTTATTGTGTGTAGTAAAGGTACTCTTATTATGTATACGTGTGTCTCCTTGTATATATCTTGATCGTTGTTGTTTTTCTCATAATAAATTGCTCTTCTATGAAAAATTTTAGTTTAACTATCTGTTAAAAACAGAAGTTGTTGAAGGACTTTAAGAATATTAACTCTTGTTTGGCATATGAATACGCTCATAGATGTTGGCTTATATGATTTAGATCAGGATTGCTCAAACTTTAGACTACTTACGATCGACTCTGAGAGACTGCAAGTGTGTGTGATGCAGGGTTGTCGTACATACACGACACACCCTACCTACCTAGGTAGGGCGTACCGTAGCATATATAGATATTACCTTTCTGCACAATATAGGTACATTGTTTTAGTCAAGGTTTGGGTTAGGTTCAGTTAGGTTCTTCTCCACAATATCAATAAAAAGACTTATAGTTATTTAATTTGTTATTGTTGTTACAAAACAAAAGAGTTACATATGGTGTTAAACTTAACTAAGGAGTGGCTTTGGATGTTGAAGCGTGGCACTGCATGTCCTCAGCATACTTTTCATAAGATGATACGTAACCACTGAGTGCTAATCGCAAGCATGATGTTATATGATCGTCAGTTAGTCGATTGCGATATTTTGACTTAATTATCTTCATTTCAAAAAATGCAGACTCGCACGTAAGTGCAAGTAAGTTGATCCAAAAAATGCCGTCAGTTGAAGGGCGATTTGCCTTACATTCGGATATTTATCTTCAGGTATAAATTTGTATCAGATACTGTAGCTTTGAAATGTATATCCGATATAATCTGCACCAACTCATTTTCAACAGAACATGAGTTCATATTAAACTGACTTGCTATTTCAGTAGCTAATTCCTCAATGTTTTTACATGAAAAAGGATAACTCATAAATGATGCTATATTTTCCAGTTTACTGCAATCATAAAAACGCATTTCAAATTGTCCCAAAATATTTGATAATTCAGCCTCATACGTATCATAATTCAACTGAGGAATCCTTGCTTTCAAAGACGGAAAATGTTTTAGATCCTTTCTTTTCAGTTGATCTATCATAAGTTACAATTTACTTTTGAATGCGTTTACTGGGCTAATCATCTCAATAATAGTTTTTCCTTTACCTTGAAGCTCCAAGTTAACGGTGTTTAAGTGCATTGTGATGTCAGTCAAAAATGCCAAATCTTTTAGCCATTTTTCGTTTTTCAAAATCTGAGTGTCATCACCTCTTTCGTCTAGAAAAGCTGTTATTTCGAGCAATAATTCTTAAAACCTTTCTAGGAATTTTCCGCGACTCAACCACCTGACGTCCGTGTGAAGAACTAAATCAGTGTGTTCAGCTGACTCCCTATCTTCCAACTGCAACTGAAAGAGCCGCCGTTGCAAGCTACGTGCACGGATGGAATTCACAATTTTTGTTGCAATGCCCATAATTTCCTCCGTGTTTAAAACTTTTGAACACAAAACTTGTTGATGTATAATGCAATGGAATGAAAAACATGAAGGGAATTCTTCATTAGCTCGACACAATGCCACAAAACCGTTTTTGTTTCCATTCATTACTGGTGCTCCATCGGCTGTAATGCACATTAATTTATATATTGGTAGCACGTAGTTTTTTACAAAATTTAAGAAAACGTCATATATATCTTCGCCACGGGTCTTCCCCTTCAGAGGAATGATTGTAAAAAATTCTTCCTTAGCCAACATGTCATTGAATACCATCCGAATAAAAATACACAGCTGGGCAGTGTCTGTCAGATCGATGGATTCGTCGAACTGTAAAGAAAAGTATGTACATTCCATAATATCATGTTTTAGTTTATCCTTGTGACAGTCGGACGAGATAATTGAAGTTCTCTAATAGCAGACATGATTTCTGTTTTATTTTTAAAATCTCCAAATAAAGTCTCACCCGCTTCAATAAATGCTTTCTTCACCACCGATCCATCTTCAAATGGTTTCTTGTGTTTCGCCAAAATATGAGATATTTTAAATGACGCGATCGTAGCAGCTTTTGATTGTTTGGCTGGTCTTGTGAACATGGATTGTTCTTTATTCAAACAAATCACTTACTTTTCGTTTTCTTAATTCACTCTGTGGCGGAAAATCCTTTTCATAGTTTTTATGAACCGTTTTATGATGCCTCTCTAAGTTACCCCGCTTAGGTATTGCAACTGACGCACGACAAATAACACAAATGCATTTATCCTTCACCATAGAAAAGAAACATTCTTCCTCCCAATCCTTATTAAAATGATACGTTTTAGATTTCTTCACTGCACTCATTTTCCACTATTTAATAATAAACTTTGTATCGACGTAGGATCGCTATCAAGTTACAATTCAGAATAACTCCAATTCCTGCAGGCGCAACATTTATACCGGCGTGAACGAAAGTCTTGAATGTTTCCGTCAAAAGCGCCGCCCGAAACTAGACTGTACTGTCTCTCGTCTAGAAACAATACGGCTTATCTTTGACAAGTGCCGCGCGTTCCTTTGATAAAGCCACCTTTTGCCGCAAGCAGTGTTATTTTATTACGTAATACATTTTTGTAGTTGATAGAATATCATCCCAAATTTGATTAATAATTATAATAAATATTGAATTAAAAAAATAATTAGTTAATATATGTAAATATAAAATATGCTGTGTGGACAGTATTTTGTTGTCCCAACTTCTTTGAATTGCAATGATGCTTAGTCAAGCATTCTATGTATTTGTATAGTTCAGTATTAATAAAAACGTTTAACTCTGCTGACAGTAGTTTAGTTACCAACCTACTTATTAAAATTTTTTTTCTTCTCGAGATCTACCCAAAAAGCACTCGCGATCGACCGTTTGAGCACCCCTGGATTAGGGTATTTTACTGCTAACGCCTTGCGGCTGCTGCATTTTTTCCTTGACATTCACCTACGATATTCTCGATAGTTTATTGTATGAAACATGCTTTTAGAACAAGAAAGTTACGTATCTATTTTTATTACAAAATGTCAAGTAGTTTAACTTTAAAGTTCAACTTTAAAGAGCTGCAACCTTTTTTGTATACACTTTTGTACTAAGGTAAGTTGGATTCAATCAATTTATTTTTATCCCCAGAATGCATGATTTAATTTATGATATACCTTTTTGAAACACCCTGTATATTGCATGTTAAGAACAATATTTGTTGGTCCTGTGAATTGGATAGTCGATATCAGGGGAAATGATGAGAATTTTGTTAAAATGATGTTGTTTTTAATTTTGTTGTTTCAAAAACCGGTTTTCGGTTTTTTTAATCCAATGTTACAAAGTTACATTTACAATGCATTTTAGTTTGCGATACTTCATTCGACTCGATATCAATATGATCAAAATTAGTATTATCGAAAGAACATCAATATCAATATAAATAAAACACAATTTTTAATAAAACCATTTCATTATATTAATTATTATATTTATTTATTATTTTTTAATTATTATATATTTATTGATTTATCATTAAATATAATATAGCGTAAGATTATAGCATAATATAAGTAGAATGAAGTAATATTTTAAGTAAAAAAGTATAGGTTAGAAGGTAACAAATAGGTTATATTATATGAAATGGATTTAACATTATGTTGGCCAGTATTTTTCATGAAGCCTATTGAGAAAAACTCGTTCATATATATGTTGGTCGGTGGCTTCTCTCATCTGACACAATATCATTCAATGATGACACCAGTCTCTCTGATGCTCCTGATCGTTCGACCAACAACATGTATTTTTAGCTATAAAAGCAAAGCCTGGCATACAGGTTCTGTTCTGCTCCCAGAATGAAAACGGAACACTTAATCTCGGCAGCAAAGGCTGCTGCAGATATAGAGTCAGTTCATTTGGAAAAGAACTTTGAATCCGTGTGTCCTGAGAACTTGAACTGGAACTACTGTTCACCAACTCCAGATCGTGTGAAGACCAAACAGGGTTTGATTTTAAACTCACTTTGGCTTCTTTATTCTGGAAGAAGCAGAAAGGAGATAGTTTTCCGATTTCGGTATGGTACGTCCTAACTTCCGACCCTAAATTGGATGTGACTGTCTGGACTATAGACGGATTCGGATATAGTTTTTTGAACCTCGGGTCCGTGATTGTAGCATGGCAAAGCAAGGGGTTTCTTAAAAGCATAGTGCCCCTCTCTTAAATGTTAGTTATATTAAGGGCTCTTTTGGGCTGTATTAAGATTTCGCTTAAGGGTTTTTAAAGATCTTTCTATATTAGACACAAGAAGGAAAACAAGACTAGCAGTAATGTACTGGAAACCCGAGATCTCCTTTGTGGCCTCGTCGAAAGGTGATAAAATTGTTACAATTTCAGTGATTAGTTTTATATCTGAACCAGAAATCATACTTGGTGCTTTTTTAATCGAAGGATCTGCCAGTATTGCAGCTATATATGGGGACATTGGATATAATCACGAATGTCGAGGTGTTGAGAAGAATGAGAAATTATAAAGAGGTCTTAAATACAGTTAAAGTCAGAAAACTGCAATATCTGGGACATATTATAAGGGGCGAGCGTTACAACTTGTTGCAATTAATAATGCAAGGAAGAATACAGTCGCGAAAGAAGACGCATTTCCTGGTTGAATAATTTGAGAGCTTGGTTTAACTGCACTTCTGCTGACCTCTTTAGAGCAGCGGCGTCGAAAGTGCGAATTGCCATGATGGTTGCCAACCTTCTCAAAGGAGATGGCACGTGAAGAAGAAGAAGGTGGGGACATTAGAACTGTCCCTAACGAAAGTGACTATGGCTTTTATTTTGTTTATTACATTTTTTAATGCTACGTTGCTTATATCTTCTAGGCCATCTGTGACAACTAAATTTAATATGTGTAAAATGAAGCAGAACTCACACTAGCCTCAGAATCAGATGAAAATGCTTCCTGATCGCCTCTATGCAAAAAAGTTACGATATCCGCCAGTTCTTTATCCTAAGCAAAAACAAATTTCCCCTATTAATTCCTTTACTTAAATTTTTCTACGAAATGAGCTTACCTTTGGCTTATTTTCCAGATATTTTGGATGTTTATTTTTTAGGTGCTGCCTTAAATTCGTCGTGCCTCCTCCTGGTTTTAATATTTTCAAACAAATGGAGCACTGTGCCTCATGTTGCTGCGCTTGGAAAATAAATTCCACACACACAATTTCGACATGGTAAAAATAAAAAATTCGACACTTAAAGATGAAAAGAAAACGGCGTTATTACTAGATTTATTCTACAATGTTCTATAGATATGTCTACATCTTCAATGTCGTCATGAAAAAACTTGATTACTATGATGATTAAAGCTTTGTGAATTTCAGTAGTCAGTAGAGAACAGTACCTAAACCAAAATTATTATACTACTGCTCAACGGAGAACGCTCCAATAATTCAGCTTCTATTGTCATTGAATATATTATGAGAGTAGAATATAATATGCAATTATTGCTTTCAATTAAATGATGCAAATTTAATTTACCCTTTGAAAATCTAATCCTCTAAAATACCTACCAATTTTCCTCTTCTCCCAAACCCAAAAAATTCCCCAACCATTTCAACTTATAAAATATTTCACAGAATCTTCAAATGGGATTTAAAAAAATAATATCAACATAAATATTTTACTTAAAAATAAATTGGATAATGCAATTCATCTTATATTTTTACTACTATCATAAAAATTTATCATGTATTACTTTTAACACGTTTGCATATTTGTTTAATAGGTACATTAACTCATTTAATACTTCCTGTATTGTTTTGAAAACGTAGGAAATTCCTTGGAGATTCGTATTCGTATTCGGTAATTCGATATTCATAGTCAGAACATTATTATTTTTGGTAATCAGAAAAAGCCATTCATCCACTTTCAATGTCAAGAGTCAAGTGTGAAAAATATGTAATAAAATTTGAATTATGGTTTTGTTTGAAATAATTACTTAAGAATAATATGATTGGAATCCAAAATAATGCCTAAATAATACTAATAATACTACTAAAACTAAAAAACCTAATAACCGGTTTTTTACTTTAAAAATAAAAAACCGGTTATAACCGGGACAAAAAAACAACCGGTAAAACCGGTTATTGCGAAGTAAAAAACCGGTTTTCGGTTAAAACCGGTAGGTTTTTCTCATCCCTATCTTAAAGTTAACTGGATAATGAAATTAATATTTATATTAAAAAAATGTGACTATTTACCTATAATATCCGTGGTGTAACATGCTATCATTTCAAATATATCCATGTCTTTATCATTATCAACATATTGTTTCAAGCTAGTCCGCAGTTCTTCACTGGATTTTCTTAGAGTTTCAAAAAAATATTTCATTTTTGCTGACGTAAAAATGCTTGTAAATTTAGCCTAAAAGTAAAAAGTAAAACATTCAGCCAAAGCCAATTTCTAGCCCCTTAGAACTACAATTTATCGTAGGTAGATAAAAATCTGGTTTTCTATGTCAGAACGTTGATCAGATAACTAGTAAACATATATGGAGTACTATGGTTGCATAATTAGAAGGAATAAATTTACAAATTGTTTTAAAGTTTTGTTATACCTATACTTATAAAGGCGCAGCAAACTGGCAACAATTGGCAGTGAATAGAACTGACTAGCGTAATAGACTTGGGAAGGTTAAGGCTCTTTTATAGGTCTATAGCACCAATGATGATGATGATGATGATCTCCAAAACCCACGACTTATGATTGTCGACTAATTGAAAATAAAATTATCATACTCCAGGAGACAAGGTCCATTTTGGGCACCAGGTAGCTTGAGAACTGTCGTTCTTATCATATTCATATTCAGCAACCTCAAAAACTACTAACTAACAAAATAAAACCACTATGAATTTTGTTCACAAACTTTTTTGGCACTTTAGCGAATCAAATGCAAAATTTCACTGCGATTTATTATACTACGAAAAATTTGTGGGGTTTAGTGCTTTGTTTCCTCGCCTAGTAGTCAAAATATTTAGAATCTGTAGTAGGTACTCATCAGTAGTAGTACTATTGTAGACGAAATTCAACTTCAAGCTACGGACGATGGAAACAAATGCACGCTGGAAACACGCGTTTGGTCAGCCGGACTAATAAATTAAAATTTTCTGAAGCTATTTTTTTGTGGCATTGTAAATTAATTACTTTTAAACTGGGAATAAACCAGAATTAAAGATAAAAATACGTTTATTGACGTTTCAATTTTTCCACTTCGGAAATCGTTCTCAAAATACAAACAGTAAATTAAACAAATTTTGTTTTTTGTTACATAGTGAAAAATTCTTCTAATAATTTAATTTTATCTGACTCATTTATATTGACAATTCAGACATACATTATGCATTTTAAAGTAGACGTCTTTAAAATGATATTGCCAATATTGTTGAGTTGCGCTCCTGGGACGACTTTACTTATAAGATAGTTCATTCGATTACATGAAATCAACTTTTAACTGAGAATATCCGTCAAAAAAAATCATAGCATGTATGTCTGAATTGTCAATATAAAATGAGTCAGATAAAATTAAATTATTAGAAGAATTTTTTCACTATGTAACAAAAAACAAAATTTGTTTAATTTACTGTTTGTATTTTGAGAACGATTTCCGAAGTGGAAATTGAAACGTCAATAAACGTATTTTTATCTTTAATTGTGGCTTATTCCCAGTTTAAAAGTAATTAATAAATTAAAGCTGCAATACAAAACATTATATAATTTGTAGACGTTGACAGTTACAGATTATAGTACACCAATTTTTTTAAATATAAAAATGATTTACAAAGTCGAGAGTTATTAACAACAAAATAAAGTATACAAAAAAAAGTTTATAAAACTACCGTATTTTATCTTAACTTTCAGAATCTGATGTACTGCTGTCATCATTAAAGTTGATAATGATAGGCTCAATTTGTGCCTCAATTAAATTGTCCAACTCCTACATTTTTGGCTCCACTTCTTCTTTTACTTGTTTGACGCAGTTTTTCCATTTTTCCATGGTTACAGCAGACACAGCTTCATGAAATAAATTTTTAATGTCAGCAAATTTAAAATGTTGTGTTATGCCATGCTACATAATTCTTGACTTCCGCCCATACAAGCTCGATTGGATTGAACTCGCAGTGATACGGTGGCAACCTTAAAACTATTCTATTTGTGCTTCTTACCAGTTCATCTACTATGTACTTATTATATTCGCCTTTAAGTTGTTTAACGATTTCTAAAAGTTGCACCTTTAACATCGTTTCTTCAAAGGGAATGTCTTTTGAGCGAAGCCAATTTTGAATATCTGCCTTTTTTGTAGCCATAATGGGAATTTTTTAAAATTTTCTGGAATGGTAAGGGGCATTGTCCATTACAATTATAGCATTTTTTTCCAGTGTTTGGAACGCTAAAGTAGGATTATCTTGTAATTTACATTTGTATGTATTAACCATTATTTTTTTTATTCTTATATCTACGTGATTTTTCTTAGCTCTTTTCTTATTAGAACTTAGCGTTAACAGTTCCTCAATTTCATTTGCCGACTCCGTATCGACATATTAAATAAATGGATTTATTAAACTTTTCTCAACTAAAATAACAAAATGGGCATTTTCAAATTTACTTTTATAGTAGAGGATCCGATATAAGGTTTACCTACACCGCTTTGGTAAATGTGATATTTTTTACTAACGATTTTGATCCTTGAAAATCGTCATCTATCGTTCTTCGTCTGTCAATTCTTTTTCGTCTGTCAATTCTTGTTCGCCTGTCAATTCTTCCTTGTCTTCCAGTTTTAAAATTATTTATAACTCGAACACGATCAACTTAAGAAAAATTACAAAATAAATTTTTGTTTGGAATGATCCAAAAATCTAAAACAATATCTGCCCGGGTTGATTTTTTTTAAATATATAAAAATGTATTTTTTAACTCTTTTCGGCACATCGGATTGAAATTTGAACCACCAAATTTTTGCTACATGTTGTACAGTAGTCCACAAAATGAATCACTTATTAATCTATTTTTTATCAAGTTGCACCTACGCAAGTGGTTTGTATTACTTATTCCCTCTGTCCATATTAAGTGTTATCTTTAATTGGTAAAATTCCCACGGTATAATTATTGGCTAAACGCGAATGGTTATCAGTTGTTTCTTGAAAAGTGAGATCATTTTACTTTTTACGTGTGCAATTGAATCTTTCTATGCCCCAAGGGTCCATTGTAGAACATTTATAAAATCTCGTGCCGCAAAGAGTTTAAATTAATTATATTCAGGACAAAATTATATCGGGCACCTCTTGTTTTTCATAATTTTTAAAATACTAAATAATTTTTATCCATTAAACATATCAGTGCAGGTCGATAATATATCTTATCTTATGGCTATTATAAATGCTTTATTATACTTACAGGAATTATTTTAAAGTGGGAAAAAGTTTGTGTCGACTATAATTAAATGTTCTTAAAAATGCTTTGCACTATCCACACACGAGCTAACGATTAACAAATAAACAAACCAACAAACAGCTTTGCACAAAAATTACTGGGCCATTTCGCATTCGACAGAGGACGGAGCGGAAAAAACGAAGTCCGCACCGGTTAGGGCTAACTGCCTGACTTACGATCGTTCGACAATTTGGCCAATAGCAAGGCGTTCGTCACGTGTAGACTCGAATATCACGCGGTGACTTGTGTTGATTCTGTCCGTAACTTGAAGTTGAATTTACTGTAGACGAAATCAGTCACTTAAATAGACAATCAGAAAACATATTAATATTTTTGTGTACCCCTTGTAGTAGTTCATAAATTCTATTTTAAATAAGAAAATATTCATGCTTACTCTTGATTCTCTCCATTCTGCACCTTCTTGTGTCAATATATTTACACTTACAGCATTATTTTTATTAATATATATTCCTCTGTCAGTAAAATATTGAAAATCTTTTGTCAAAATATCCTTAGCATATTCTGGATCTACCACTACTAACTGAGGACTTAGACCCATATATACACCTAAAACAATTTATACTTAACTAAAAAATTTGAAAAATGTACTAAAATTAAATTCAATTAATAAACTTGCAAATCAAAAATATAAAAAGTTTATTATCTACAGAAAGCAAGAATAGTCTGAAATATTTTTATTTAAAACAACTATTTATTTTAACAAATCATTAAAAACAAATTCTTGGACACTCCTGTTCTATAAAGGTCTCCAACGTTACCACATTCATCATATTCTCTTTGAATTTTGCTCATAGTAGATTATTGTATTAACATTCTATCTAAATTGTCATGATTATACTCTTTGCCTTTATGCTAGGTCGGCTTTCCTAACTAAATTTTTTTAATAGTGCCTTTCTTGAGCTGTCCAATATAATTCCCCTTTTCCGAAAAGTTCCGCCTAAGCGTCTCCTTAGGTCTTATTTGGTCTTTCTCTACTACTCCTCCCACGAATTTTCAAATCAAGTCTTCAACTCCACCATGCGTTAACACTTATATTGGAGGTTTTAAACAAAAATAAAAAAAAAACATTTTACACATAATACTGGAAATTAATTTAGTTATGTTAAAATCTACATACCTCCTACTTTTAGTCCTTGTCTTTTGAACTCATCGTAGAACTTCTTTACTGCCCCACCTAATGCGATTCCTCTAGGCAGCGCGCTTCCATGGTTTCCATAAGGAAATGTTGGTTTCAGTTGCACTATACCTTTCCTTTTCCAATATGCATATTTATATTTTATGTAAATAATAGCACTTAATATTATCGTTGCTATTATTACAAGAAAGTTGATTAAGAAGCTATTTGTAGGGATTGACATGTTGACTGTGACCTAAAAATAATGATACTACAGAACGAAGTAGAATAAAAATTGTTTAGCCATTCCGATTAATAGTACACCTATTGAGTTTAAGATAGCTGTAATATTCATATCAGGTTTGTTCCAACACAACGAAAAACCGTCACGTAACGGTTACACTCCTGCGCACTAAACCAAATACGTTCCAACAAAAATATGATCGTTCATCTCATCGTCCTTCTGACCGTTCCAACAAAAATTGTGATCGCTCAGTGATGGTTTCGTGACAATAATTTCAATAATCGGGCAAATGCATATACTGGTTGGGATAACTTGTGCACTAGGATTTTACTCTACTTCTTTAAATTTGTTGGGCTTAAATTAACTAAAATTTTATATTAAAACTGTAAATTTGTTCAGAAAAAAAGAAGTTAGGTTAATGATTTTATCAGGTGCTTATGATAGACTTGTTAATTATTTATATACTTGCTTTTCGTTTTTTATAACTTTATAAATATGACTGACGACGAAGGAATTAGTGATTTTTCTGATTATTATAGTAGTGAGGATGATTTGGAGCTATTAGCCGAACCTGGGATGAAAAGCCAGAATTATTTAGATAGATTGTCACCAAATTATGTCAGTTGTCAGAAAATCGTTCCAACATAAGTTTCCAAATTGCCGTTATCAGACGATACAAATGATGAACATGCGCATTGAAAACGGTAAAAGTACTAAAAAGCGGTTTCCGGAAACCAGCACGAAACTACTTTTTACCGTTTTTAATGCGCATGTTCATCATTTGTATCGTCTGATGACGGCAATTTGGAAACTAATGTTGGAAAGATTTTTTGACAACTGACATAATTTGGTGACAATCTATCTAAATAATTCTGGATTTTCATCCTAGGTTTGGCTAATAGCTGCAAATCATGCTTACTACTATAATAATCAGAAAAATCACTAATTCCTTTTTCGTCAGTCATATTTATAAAGTTATAAAAAACGGAAAACAAATATATAAATAAATAACAAGTCTATCAAAAGCACCTGATAAAATCATTAACCTAACTTCTTTTTTTCTGAACAAATTTATAGTTTTAATATAAAATTTTAGTTAATTTAGGCCCAACAAATTTAAAGAACTAGAATAAAATCCTAATGCGTAAGTCATCCCAACCAGTACATGCATTTGTCCGATTACTGAAATTATCGTCACGAAACCGTCACTGAGCGATCACAATTTTTGTTGGAACGGTCGAAAGGACGATGAGATGAACGATCATATTTTTGGCATATTTTGGATATCTTAGGCATCTTGGAAAAAATAACTGCATTATTTACTACAGTGCAGTGCATAATTTACTACAGTACAGTACTATAGTGTAATTGATTTCAAAGCTATTAATCATAGGACATATCGAATTAGAATTAAAGAGCAGATTTTTATTATTAGCATCTATGCCCCGACGGAAGAAAAAGAAGATGATGACCAAGACACGTTATATGAGGCATTAGACAAAGAGTACGATGAGTGTTAAAAAAGTGACATCAAAATAATAGTAGGAAACTTTAATGCCAAAGTGGGAAGAGAGATTTTCACCCATTATCGGAAAACAGAGTATACACGTAGACTCTAATGATAACGGTCTCAGAATCATAAACTTTGTGGTGTTTAAGAACATGGTAATAGCTGAGACGATTAATTCATAGAGATATACAAAGGGAACTTGGAAATCTCCTGACAATGAAACGATTAACCAAATAGATTATATAATCATGGATGCAATACACTGCTCTAACCTATTAGGTGTTAGGTCTTTAAAAGGAGCTAACATAGATAGTGTTCACTATTTAGTTAAAACACGATTTAAAGAGCGAATATCCAATTTAAAAAAGGAGAGAAGAATTGACATTAATAAACTAAAAGATCCCGACATTGTAAATATATACAGACAGCAAATAGAAGATCAAATTAGGACAGAAAACCTAAAAAATGAAGAAAAGAAAAATTAACCAACTATGGGCAAATAAACAAGATATTGTGTTACAGAAATCGGTTGAAATATTGGGAAAACTAAGTCAGAAAAAAGAAAACTTTGGTTTGATCACGAGTGCGCAATGGCCACAAATAGAAAGAATGCAGCATATAAAAAAACCATCGACGCAGGTTGTACAGGGGAAAAAAAAAGAAGACCATAAACGTCTTAGACGAGAGGGAGAACGTATCCATCGACGTAAGAAATGGGAATACGAACAGAACACTCTCAGAGGTGAAACGTTTTTTCGATAAAAATAAAAGGAGAAAGCTCGAGAATTTAATTCAGCCATCGAGAACAGACTAACGGTGAAATTCTACATGATAAGAACTCAGTTCTTATCAGATGGGCACAACATTTCAGCGAACATTTAAATATAAACAATATTGAACGATGTTACAATATAGACATGTTCCAACATAGACCCAACAAGAGAAGTGTCAAATGCCACACTAAAACTCAAATAAAATAAAGCCACAGGAATCGATGAAATCTGTTTGGAAATATATATAAAAGGTTGAGATCAACTTTTTGCAGCAATTCATAACCAAAATTCAAAATTAAAAAAATAGTAATCATATGTCAGAATTAACTGTTACCAGAAGAGTGGCTAAAGGGAATAATATGTCCGTTGTATAAAAATTGTGATCAACTGGAGTGTAAAAACTATAGAGGCATTACTCTGTTAGCATCTGCGTATAAAATCTTCGGCAATGTATTGTTTGAGACTTAAACATTTTACAAAGGATATTGTTGGTCAATATCAATGCGGATTAACTGCAGTAAAGTCAACTACACATTCAAGCACATAGGCAAATTCTTAAGGCACATAAGCAGAAACACACCATGTCTTCATTGACTTCAAAGCAGCCTATGACAGTGTGAAAAAAAAAACTGTATTATATAATGCAATTATAGACTTTGGGATCCAACCTAAGTTACTTAAGTTGACCCAACTAACAATGCAAAATTTAAGCTAATACGTTAGACTTGAAGGAGAAAACGTTTTTTGACAGTACTAATGGTCTAAGACAGGGGGACGCGCTGGTGTGTCTCCTCTCTAATATTGCCTTAGTAAAGGCAACCAAACAATTAAATATTAGAATGAATGAAACTATTTTTAATAGATCGACTCAAATTCACGCATTGGCTGATGATAAAGTTATGGTGGGCAGAAGTATGAGAGATATGGTGCAGTGTTTTACAAGGCTTGCCGACGCGGCAAGTGCATTAGGACTTGTGGTAAACGGGGAAAAAACTAAATATATGTTGGCTTCTAAAAACCCCCGAAATATCCAACAAAAAATTCAAATTAACAACCACACCTTTGAGTAAGTCAAATAATTCCCATATTTTGGATGGCTAGTAAACAAAAAAAAAACACGACAAGCGACGAAATAAAAAGACGTCTCCAGAAACATTTAAAAAATAAAAATATAAAACGTGCAGTAAAGCTCAATATATACAAGACCTTAATAAGAACGGTTTTAATATATGTGACTGAAACGTGAACCTTATCTCAAAATGATGAAAGACTTCTTGGTATTTTTGAAAGAAAAATTCTAAAAAAAAATGTATGGGGCCTTAAATGAAAATAGACTATGGCGTCGAAGATACAACTTTAAACTATATCAGTTATACAGAGATCCAAATATTATAAAATACGTAAAATGTAGAGACTTGGATGGGCTGGACAGATTGCTAGAATGTCAGATCACGAATACATGAAAATATTAATATTTCAAAATCAGAGGGCACTAGAAGTAGATGACGACCACGAAGATGGATTGATGATGTGGAAGAAAACCTACAGATTTTAAGGTCAGAAGATGGAGGGAAGTTGCCAGGAATCGACAGGAGTGGCGACTTAATTGTGAACAGGCCGAGATCCACAACCTACTTTCGAGCCACTTATGATGATGAAAGTTGACATTCTCAGCTAAATTCAGCTTGTTCGTATGATTTTTAGGGGTAAAATCTCCGACGACTGGACTAATAGTGAAGTGGTTGTAAAAAGTAATAGTTTTAAGTGCCTAGGATTGGTATTACATAGTAAGGGGGCAATAAATGGAAACGCACGCAATAGAATTGAAGTGGGGCGGTTATAAATAAAAAGAAACAGCGAATTCATCTAGTAGAAATCAGAATACTTAGATGAAGTGACAAAAAGAATAAAATTAAGAATTAGTATATAGAATTTCAACTCTGGTCTTTTCCATATTTTACTATGCATGCGAGACATGGACAGTCAAAGAATCAGATCGACGACGTATAGACGCCTTTGAAATGTGGACATGGAGACGCCTACTTCGAATTCCATGGACGGCTCGCCGTACAAATATCTCGGTTCTGGATGAAATTAAACCGGATCAGCGTCTCTCCAGTAACCGTTTACTCTAGAATTTTAAAGTTCTTTGGCCATATCCATCGAAGTGATCACAAAATGGAGCGGTTGGTGGTCCAAGGAAGGCCTCAGACTCAACGCCAACGCGGAAGATCTCCACAGCGACGGGCGGACATTACTAAAAAGCTTCTCAATAAACAGTATATGAGGCAATACATATAACTGATGACCGCGACCAGTGGAGAAATATTATCAATCAAACTGTCCGAGCTGCTGAAGCCCAATTATGAACCACAACACATCTACCAAGATGTTAATGACTGTGATGATGATGATATAGAATAATTCTAGGGGTGGCATCAATTAACGACAAACATGTTAATTACCCATAACGAAAAATTGCTGATTCACACGTTCCTGGGAAAAAAAGAAGAGGAAGATTAAGGAAGGTCTGGTTGATATTATTAGGCAGGATATATTGGTAAAAGGAATTGGTTTTCAAAGAAGATTTTGAAAATTTTTACAATGATTTAGAAGGATAGGATCTACAAAGAAAGGTAAGCTCAACATTTTAACGGGAATATTTAATGCGAAAATTGATGAAAGCAAACAGAGAGATATCATAGGAAACATGATCTATGAATACACGA